GTTTGTTACATAGGTATACATGTGCCATGGTAGTTTGCTGCACCCATCAACCTGTCATCTAGGTTTTAAGCCCCGCATGCATTAGCTATTTGTCCTAAGGCATTCCCTCCCTTTGCCTGACATTGTCTTGTATAAGCTCAGTACAGTAATCAAAACCAGAAAATTTAATTAATATAAAACTCTTATCTAACCGGAGCCTGTATTCACTTTGTGTTAATGATCCTTTTTAGGTACTTTTTTATTCCTGGTCCAGGATCTAATCCAGGATCACACATTGCATTTAGTTGTCATATTTCTTTAGTATGAACCCTTATTTTCTAATTAAAGTTTTTAGAAATTTATGTTGAAAGTTTTAAACTTCAGTTATTACAAATAACAATCGTTTTAAATTATCTTCCATTAGTGATAAAATATAAGGGGTAAAAGTTCATTCACTGTTAACCATGTAGAATTTGGGCATCTGCCAATACAGATTATAATACTAGGGAGAAGTTTGCAGACTTTGGAAAAGAGGTCTTTTCTTTGCCTGAAAGTAGGGTAGATTGGGGATTATAGAAGATTTGAGGTTCCAGACAGTATATCATTTCTCAGTTGCGCAGCTAGCCACCTATATTACCTGGTAAGCGAGGGAGACCAGAAATATTGAGATATGGGGTGCTGAAGCATGAGCAGATTCCTAGGGATTTATAGCAGTGGGCCAAGCATCTTGTGTTAGCACCATAGGGTCACAGAGGAGCCTCTGATGTTTGTTATCCCAGCCTTGAATGGAAAAAACAAAGCTTTGTGTGGTATTTTACATTTAGAAACTATCAGAAACACATATATTTATATTTGTTTTAGAAATATATACGTGCATCAAGCCTGTTGTATCAGCTGCAACAGAGATACAGCAATTTAAAAATTTTAAGAGTTGCCTATGTATATGAAACAAAAGATACAGCTTTAGCTGGGAAAAAAATTTCAAAAATTCCATTGAGCTTAAGTTACACCTATTGTTACAGCTCTTTTAGAATTTGTCTAGCAGGCTTTCCAGTTTTTGCTAGAAAGCCCACTAATAAAAATAAAAGCTACACAAGTGATTTACAGTAGGTTTAATTTAGGAAATATCAGTATTTTATGATTCCCAGCAGTTGTCTCAAACTTGTTTTATAACCTTCAGGTTTACATTACAGACAACTAAAGACAGAGTCTGGTGAAACTATTTGACAATAAAAGAAGCCTTACCACTTTTTACTGAATGGCAAGAAAACACCAACAGAGTTCTTTGTCATAGAGAAGAACATAATCAAGAACAGTCTTCAGAATCTTTACCCCCATCTGATTAGTCAGGAGATAGGTTCTCTGTTTAATTCTCTGGATTGCCTATATTTTCCATCAGCAAGAAGGGGTAAATTGAATTAATAACGTACTTTTAGGTCCAAGTGATTTACAACCTAGTTTCCCTTTCATTAAAACTGATTCTCAAAAGTATACACAAATTTCTGATTTCTTACTTTTCTCCCCTTAAAAAAGGGGAATTATATTATTTTTCTAGGCTTCAGAAGGTTTACAGCTAATTAGAGGGAGGACATCGCATATACACACTTAAAACAGTTAAGAAATAAGCAAATGTGTTGCCAACTATAAAGGTCATATGATCTCAGAGAAAGGCCTGTGAGTTGGTAGAAAGAGAGTTTGAGTGAGTAGAGAAGGGCGCAGGCTGGCTTTCCATGTCAGAGGACTCCTGCAAGCATGCTTTGTGGGAGCTGTGGTGGGGACAGTGGCATGGGGATAACCAGACTGGGTTCAGGGGAGGCTTGACCAAAAAGCCAAACCAAGGAGTTTAAATTTGGGGTGATAAATAGTTTGTGTGTCACTTTACATTTTTCTGCACGTTTTGCCTAAAACAGTATCCTGATGACAATGGTATCTTACAGGAAATTCGTCTACTGCCATATTAAAAGTAACCTAAAGAAGGAGAGGCTTAACAAAAGTCTGGACCAGTAGTGGCTGTGGGAAAGGAGAAAAAACAATTTGAGCTAAGTAGGTGTCAACAATACAAGTAGTGCTTTTATATTAAGTTGACTTTCTCCTTGGTTTTATGACTTGTAGCACCTTCTCAAAAACGATTGTGAAAGGTGCCAAAAGGGCAGGGAAAATGACAATTGGACGACAATATTTACTGAAGAAGAAAACAGGGACAATTGTGGAAGAAAGAGCAAATCGTCCTGGATGGAATGAAGATGATGATGTATCTGGTATGTGAGAACTCGAATTTCCTTCATTATTCAATTTTATTTCTTATATGAATAAGACAGTAAGATGTAGTTGCACTTAAATCTTGATTCACAAAAACCTAGATCTCATGAGAAGACAGAAGCACTTACCAGCTTCTTAGAACTGGGGAAAAATTATTTTCCCAGTATTCTATTGTTCAGGTAACATTTTGTTAAATTGTACTTCTTTACTAAATCCGTATAGCTAATTGGCCAGTTTATGTGGGTCTCATTAAAAGAAGAAAGAAGGAAACCTCACTGCCAAGGAAATTTCCATGTAGGGTAGTCCCCTCTATCTTATTCTTCTAGAACAAGAATTTAACATAAGGACATTGAACATTTCAAGCTGAAGATTACAGTTTTTGGTAAGAACATTGTTGGTTCTCTTAATCAAAATGGAGGACCCAAGATGAAGGAATACTTAGAAGAAAAAATACTCGCTAAATATTTGAAAGAACAGCTAAAATACTTCTCAGTGGGGAAAATAGAGGAAGAAAGTTAATGCAAACTGTTTCCCATTCTTACCTCAGTATCAAATACACTATGAAATCAGCACTATAAAGCTGATGGGAGGCAAAATGCCATGACACTTTTTTTTCCCCGCCTCATGATCTTAGAGTCAGTCACCAGTAGTTATTCAAGAACTACTGCTAAGAACAACATGTTAAGAAAGAAACCTTGCTGGACCTGGTGGCTTATGCCTGTAATCTCAGCACTTTGGGAGGCTGAGGCCGGCAGATCACCTGAGGTCGGGAGTTTGAGACCAGCCTGACCAACATGGAAAAACCCAACCTCTACTGAAAATACAAAAAATCAGCCAGGCATGGTGGCACATGTCTGTAATCCCAGCTACTTGGGAGGCTGAGGCAGGAGAATCATTTGAACATGGGAGGTGGAGGTTATGGTGAGCCAAGATCATGCCATTGCACTCCAGCCTGGGCAACAAGAGCAAAACTCCGTCTCCAAAAAAAGAAAGAAAGAAGGAAACCTCATCTTTAGAGAGAGCACTGGCTAACAGGTCTCCATTTCAGTTGCTGGGATAAAGAACCTATGTGGGCTGGGTACAGTGGCTAATGCCTGTAAGCCCAGCACTTTGGGAGGCTGAGGCAGGCAGATCACTTGAGGCCAGGAGGTCAAGACTAACCTGGCCAACATGGCAAAACCCTTTCTCTACTAAAAATACAAAAAATTAGCCAGGTGTGGTGGTGAGCACCTGTAGTCCCAGCTGCTGAGGAGGCTGAGGCATGAGAATTGCTTGAACCTGGGAAGAGAAGGTTGTAGTGAGCCAAGATTGTACCACTGCACTCCAGCCTGGGTGAGAGAACGAGACTGTCTCAAAAAAAGAAAGAAAAGAACCTATGTGATTTTGTATATGTGTATGCATGCCCTGGGTGAGAATGTACATACTAAAGCTTGGGGCAAAGAAAATACCCACTGTTGCGTTACTGAAGTAAGCATTTGTTGAAACCCTGGTCTTTTCACAGTCATGTCAAACCATAAAAATATTATTGCTACCCATCACTATTGACTCCTTTAACTCAATTTTTTTATTATTTCATGGAACAAAACCTGTTATTCTATGACAATTATTCTACTAAAAGACCAAATTATATAATGTTCTTTGCTCCTCTAAAAATAAAAGGCCAACACATAAAATTGATATCTGATTATACTGTATTGTGAAATTCACAAATTGAAACACAAATTGAAGTTCACAAATTGAGACACTTGGCTGTTGATTTTTTGCTTTTTAAAAATATATTTTAATGAAAGAAGGCCATATCTTTGCCTGCACATTAGTACTTTGAGTAATTTTCTTTTTTTTTTCTCCTTTTATTTATTTATTTATTTGCATCCACTTAGGGCATAAGAGTATATGAGTAATTTTCAAAAACTTTGACAGCATGATTTGATGTCTCTTACTTTCAAAATAAATAGGGAAGTAAATTAGGACAGTTTTTAACATGAAATTTTTTTTTCAGTTAGAACATGCAGTACCAATTAGGAATGTCCTTTAAAAAAAAAGCCTCCCTAAAAAAAAAAGCATCCCTAAAATACTTGATTATTGAGTAAATTCTTCCCATCTAAAATCATAAAGGGTTCCAAAGAGATGTCTTCTTTCCTTTCTTCTCATTTGTAACCTGTGATTGCAAAACTGCAAGGGGGTTTCCCATGTATACCACATCCTCTAACAACAATATTTCCAGGAAAAATACATGTATAACTTATTTATCCCTCTCTGAGGAAATAGGTTCTTTTTTCCTCTAGTTAACTTCTGGTTAATCCAGAAATTTCTAATAAAAGTTTATGGTCTGAAAAGTATTGTTTTTAGAAATTATTTAAATGGTATTATTTTCCTGGCATTTTTAGTTGAATTAGTGTTATTTTATTTATTGACTATGCATTACAGTTTCATTTATGTTTATTTAAGTGTGATTCCTCACAGAAGTTACATGATTTAATTTGTGATATACATAATATTTGTCATCCTAATGTAAACCTGTCTTAGTGGGTCTTCTTCAAAAGGAAGTTTCTTGTTGTTGTTGTTGTTGTTTTGAGACGGAGTCTCGCTCTGTTGCCCAGGCTGGAGTGCAGTGGTGCGGTCTTGGCTTATTGCAACCTCCACCTCCTGGGTTCAAGCAATTCTCCTGCCTCAGCCTCCCGAGTAGCTGGAATTACAGGGGCATGCTACCACACCCGGCTAATCTTTTGTATTTTTAGTAGAGACAGCATTTTACCATGTTGGCCAGGCTGATCTTGAACTCCTAATCTCATGATCCGACCGCCTCGGCATCCCATAGCTCTGGGATTACAGGCGTGAGTCACCGCACCCAGCCCAAAAGGAAGTTTTTAATCCTTTGCTTTGAGCTAATCGTTTCTTCAATATCTGTCTCTATCATCCCAGTTTCAGATGAGAGTGAGCTCCCCACAAGTACCACCCTGAAGGCCTCAGAGAAGTCTACAATGGAACAGTTGGTAGAAAAAGCTTGTTTCAGAGACTATCAGCGTTTAGGTTTAGGAACCATTAGTGGCAGCTCTTCCCGTTCAAGACCAGAGTATTTTCGAATTACTGCCTCTAACAGGATGTATTCACTCTGCCGGAGGTAAGTATGTCTGTGAACCCCAAAGAGAGGTCTTCTTTCCTTTCTTCTCATTTGAATCTTTAATAGGCCATTTGCATCCATAGCCCAGAGATAGATAAAAATGCCTGAAAATAAGAACAAGGTCTCTAGGATATGAGCAAGCATCTCACTGGCATTCTCAGAACAATTACCTTACTGAAAAGTACCTCTAGTAGGTGAAAAGGTGAAAGGTAAAAAATACTTGCTCCCTTTATGAATTTCTCTTGCCTTTCTCTTCCCATTTTGCTTCTTTTCTAGCATGACTAAAGATAATTTGAAGTAAGAATAGGATTTACCCAGGCCGATAGAAGACGTGAAAGTCTTTTGTAGGCTGGGGAGCCACAAACTCTTTCTATAAAGGGTCAGTCGGTAAATGTTTTCAGTTTGTGAGCCATAGTCTCTTGTTGCTGCTCTTCAGCTGTGCCACAAAAGCAGCCACAGACAGTAAGAAAATGAGTGGGCATGGCCAGTTTTGGCCCATAGGCTATAATTTGCTGACCCAGGTGTAGGCAAGGCTTTCTTATATGGTCTAATTAGAATATTTCCAAGGAAATATTACTTAAAGGATGTAAATGAAGAGACACTTTTTTTCTGTTCTTGTCATCTCTCACTATTTTTCAAATATGTTGAGCCCTATTCCATGCTTTACTGTATGTAAATATATATTTTCTAAAACTACATTTTCACCATCCATAAGTTTAGTCATTTTCATCTCCAGGTAAGTTGTTTTCTTTGCATTTATAAATTCTTATTTTAATTAAACAGCTCTGAAAGCACTTTGTAAATGTAAGCTTTGTACATATTTTAGAAAGTTCTCTTCATGCTACTGTTGTTTTCAACCCTGTTGCCATTAAAGATAGATACGACATTTTAAATGACAATTTAAGTTTACAAATACTAATGTGAAACTTGAGAAACAAGTTGGGAATATAGTTAGAGATTGTGGCCAAATAAACATTTTGCATGAAGTGCTGAAAAACTGCGACTTTGACTATGCAGTAATTTTTCTGGAATTCTCTGTCATTCTAACTACATTTTCTCTGAAGATAAGTTATGTTGTTGGGGTGTTATGTCCTGCTGTTTGGGAAGTTTGCTATCAAAATTATGCCAGCCATTGAGAAAACAGACTCATTTATCATTCCAATCTGTCAGAAGTAAAATAAAATTTTAATAGATGACTTAATAGAACACTTGTTATAAAGCATTTATGGTGGTAAAAAGTAATATGTATCTATTAAGTTATGAGAAGGAAGGAAATGGAATAATAAAAAATAATCCAAAAGAAGGCAAGAAAGAAAAAAAGGGGACACAGAACAAATGGAATAAACAACAAGTGGTAAGATGGTAGATTTAAATTCAAATATATCCATAATTGCATTAATTTTTGACTAAATGCTCCAAAGAAAGAGGATAGAGTTTGCTTTCGCCGAGCATGGTGGCAGGCACCTGTAGTCCCAGCTACTCGGGAGGCTGAGGCAGGAGAATTGCTTGAACCCAGGAGGCAGAGGTTGCAGTGAGCCGAGGTCATGCCACTGCAGTCTAGCCTGGCAACAGAGCGAAACTTCGTCCCAAAAAAAGAAAAAAAGAGAGAGAAAAGCTTTCTGCTGCTTTTAAGGGGCATATCTAAAATATAAGTATACAAAAAGGCAGAAAGTGAAAGGATGGAAAAAATAAAATATACCATGCAAAACTACTTTTAAAAAAAGTTGTTGTCACTATATGAATATCAAAGTAGACTTTAAAAGCAATAAGGAAGGATGGTTCATAATGACAAAAGATTTATTTTTCACACGGCAGTTTATTAAGACCAAGTGGAGCTTATTACAGGAATAGAGTACTGGCCTGACATCTGAAAATCAGTCAGTGTAATTTACCACATTAACAGAATTAAAAAGAACTTCATTATATAAAGAAAAGCATTTTTGCAAATGCAAAATATACTTTTGAGTTTTATTTTTAAATTTGTATTTCTATAAGTTCTGTATTCTTTGTCACATTTATGATTTTTAGAAAAAAGCTCTCAGCAAAATAGAGTAAGAATGAGTTCCCCACAAGTAGCACCCCAAAGGCCTCAGAGAAGTCTACAGTGGAACAGTTAGTGACTCCTTAATCTTCTGTCTTAAAAATTCTACATAAGAAATTACTTATTTTAAAAATAAATAAAATATTAAAACCTTTTTCTCTGAAATCCAGACAAGGATGCCCATTATCACCATTTCTATTCAGTGTTGTACTATAGGTCTTAGGCAGTGCAAAGAGGCTAAAAAAGTAAACAAAGGTATAAAGATTGAAAAGAAAGAAATAAAACTGCCATTACTCACAGATGACCAAAATGCACATGTAGAAAATCTGAAGGAATCTACAGATAAACTTTTAAAATTATTAAGTGGGTTTTATAAGGTCACTGGTACAAGGTCATTTACAATAATTAGTCATATATGCTAAAAAAGTTGTTACAAAATGAAATTTTCAAAAACTGATGCTATTTTGGTACTATTTCTACTATTTACAGTAGCACTAAAAAACATTACTTAGGAATGAATTTAATAACCTGTGTAAGATATCTACATGGAATACTTAAAACAGTATTGAAGATCATCAAAGAGCTAAATAAGTACATATTTCAAGTTCTTAGATGAGAATATTGAATATTCTAAAACTGAATTTTCCTGTATTTGTTTTATAGAATCAACAAAGTTCCAATCTCAGCAAAATATTAATGGAAATTGAAAGGATAATTCTAAAAGTTACCTAAATATGCAGAAGGCAAGGAGTAGTCAAGATAGTCTTACAGAATAATACTGTAGGATGTCAAGACTTTTTGTAAAGATACAGTAATTGACAGTATAGGATTGACACAAGGATGGACAAACAGACCGATGGAGCAAAATACGAAATATATTAAACAGAAACAGCCCAACATGTGGACACTTGATTTAAGATAAAAGTAACACTTAAGAGCAGCACATATAAGCTGTTTTTTCAATAAAGGATGCTGGGAAAAATTAATCTTTTTTTTTTTTCACACGAAAGTTTTTAGTTTATTAAGCTGCTTGTGAAAAATCCACAATGGCCATAGATAACATCACTGCAGCACCTTTACTCCTTCGGCTGTGATCCAATCTCCAGCTCACTTTTTGCCAGCGCCAACATTGGCCTTTGCAGTCCCCCTGACTTTCTTCATTCTGTTGTTTCGTTCCTTTCGTTGCTTTCTTGAGGTCTTTTTCTTCTCATACAGGCCATGTCTTGCAAGTCTATGTTTGGGTTCATTTTTCTTTGCATAATCCAGGGAATCATAAATCATGCCAAAGCCAGTTGTCTTGCCACCACCAAATTGAGTTCTGAATCCAAATACAAAGATGACATCCGGTGTGGTCTTGTACATTTTGGCTAGTTTTTCCCAAATTTCTGTCTTAGGCACTGTTGCCTTCCCAGGGTGAAGGACATCAATGACCATTTGTTTCCTCTGAAGCAGTCGGTTGGTCATGAACTTTCTAGTGCGGATAGTTACTGAGTCGTTCATGATGGCGGCCTATCCTTACACAGCCGGAGAGGAAAAGAGCTGGAAAAAATTAATCTTGACACCTACCTTATACCATTTACAAAAGCTAATTCCCATTGGCCTATAGAACTATATGTGAAAGGTTACAACAATAAAACGATAGGTTGGTTGTTAATTGATAAATATAGAACTTCTGTACATCAGGAGATACCATCAAGAGAGTAAAAAGGCAATGAAAAACGGCAGGAGACTTTAGCAGGCATTTCGCAAAAGAGGATATCTTGGGAGAAAAAAATTCTGAAAAGATGCTTATTAGTCTTCAGATAAATAAACATTTAAGTTTCAATGAAACTACTATATACCTTCCAAAATGATTGCTATTTAAAATAGACCAGCAGTACAAAGTGCTAGGAAGGACACTGAGCAAGTGGATTCTTATTCGTTCCTAGTAGGACTTTAAATTCGTTAAATGACTTTGGAAAGTTGTCTAGTGGTGTCTAAACATTTAAACATCTACTAAACATATTCATAACCTATTACCTAGAAATTCTCCTCTTATGTGGAGTAGAATTTCTAGCAGAAATATATATGTGCTCCAAAAGACATTTACAAAAATGTTCATGGCAAGATTATTAATAATAAAAAACTAGAAACTACTCAAAATCAACAAAAGAATAGATAAATAAATGGCATTATACTCACACAGTGAAATACTATACAGTAATGAAAATGAACAAACTACATGTCAGTACAATAACATGATGGATCTCATAAGCATAATATTGAGCAAAAGAAGCCAAACATGAAAGAATAAATTCTGTTTATTCCCTTTATATAGAATTCAAAAAGAAGCAAAACTCACCCACATTGTTAGCAGTCAAGATAGTAGTAATTTTTTTTTTTTTTTAAGACAAGGTCTTGGTCTGTCTCCCAGGCCAGAGTGCAGTGATACAATTTCAACTTACTGGAGCCTCAGCCTCCCTGGCTCAGGTGATCCTTCCACCTCAGCTTCCCGAGTAGCTTGGACTAGGCACATGCCGCCAAACCTGGCTGGTTTTCTTCTTCTTTTATGTATGTATGTATGTAGAGAAGAGGTCCCACTGTGTTGCCCAGGCTGGTCTCAAACTCGTAGGCTCTAGCAATCCTCCCAGCTTGGCCTCCCAGCATGCTGGGATTACAGGTGTAAGCCACCATGCCAGGCAGGATAGTGGTAATCCTTAAGGAAGAGGGGATAATAGTGACTGGGAGGAAATACAAGTTCTTGGATGCTTGTAGTGGTCCATTTCTTGACCTAGGTGGTAGTGACATCACCTAGGTTTTGAGCATTTGTATGTGAATTCTGCCTGAATTAAAGTTTCCACAGAAGCTTCTGAAGCCTAGTCTAACTCTTGAGAGTTAACTGTGGAGCCCAGAACTGAAAGCTCTGAGTAGTAGGTTAGAATGAGTGGCAGGGCAATTGATATCTTTCATTACAAATTGAGACTGGTACTGAGAGTCGCTTCTCTTGGTCTTTAGGCTCAACACTATTTGCCCCAGCACTAGGGGCTATCCAGCTGTCATGAAAGCCCCTGTCTGGTAGCAGGAGAGAGCCATAGATCTTGCATGTAACAGAGCATGGTCTGTGTGCGGTGCTCATTCACAGTGGAATGAGGAGATGGGCCACTACAGGGTGCAGGGAGGGAAGGAGTGATTGAAGCAGCTCCTGGAGACATTAAACATTACTCTCTTATCTAATACACATTGTATCTGGAAGCAAGTTGGGAAAAACCGTTATTCAAGTGCAGATAGAGGGTCCTAATTATGGAACTGCCTTGTCAGTCTTCATGAGTGATTAATTACGTCTGTAGCTTGGTCTTTTCATCAGTTTGTGGTATTAGAAAAATTCAGGCCGCAACTTCCTAGCACACCAAAGCCTTAGACTTTCAGAATGCTTCCAAAGTATCATTAGTTAAGTATGGAAAGTTAATTTGGCGTTCAGTAAGGCAGCTGAAGGTTATGATTTATGTGACCATAAACTGGATTTCCTCTCCCTCTTCTCAGCTCTGGTTCTTATCAAGAAAAGGGAAAAGAAGTTCTGGAATTGGATAGTAGTGGTAGTTGCACATCATTGTGAAAGTACTAAATGCCACTGGTTTGTACGCTTAAAAAAGGATAGCATGGTAAATTTTATATTAGGTATATTTTACCAAAATTTAAAAACCACCAAAAAAAAAAAGATACAGGATTAGTGGTTAGGAGGTTATAAATTTAAAATCTGTTTAGTGTAATATTTCTAAGTAAACTAAAAAAAAAAAAAAATGACTCTGAAGCCCGCCTATCTTCTTGCATTTATTAATCTATATGTACTTTTATATGTTATTTTCCCAGCATCATATCCTGTATCTTTATAAGCTAATCTTTTAAAATAAGTATCAAGATGTAGTGTTATTAACTAATTAAACTCATTTGATATTTGAACATATGTTCTCATGCCAAAAATAATTTGGTTTTGGTTTTTAGGCCTTTCACCATCTCAGGTGGTCTAATATTGGCATGCTTTATCCTCTGCTGTCATCTCAGTGATCTATGAATTGTTGACAGTTTGACTTGTCATTCTTATAAAGTTGATATTAATCTGCTAATCTTATTGTAAGGCAAGGGAAATAATTCAACAGAGGACTTTTAAATAATTCTACATAGTATTTTTATTTTCTAAGCTTATTCAGCAGAAGTCTGCAATATCACTGAAAGGAACCCTTCAAAAAAGACTACAGATCAGTGGATGAGTTAGCTATTTTCACCATCTAGGGATTTTCTTCTCAATCCCTGAAGAATTCAGGAGTTGAAACAGTTCCGTATTTGACATATGTTGGCCAGGCACAATGGCTCATGCCCAGAATCCCAGCACTTTGGGAGGCTGAGGCAGGAGGATCACTTGAGCCCAGGAGTTTGAGACCAGCCTGGGCAACAAAATGAGACCCTGTCACTACGAAAATAAAAATAAAATTTAAAAATAAATAAATATCTTATCCTTCAACTAATATGTTTCTGAATCTTAGAAAATTACTATGATATTAATATTCATATTCTTATATTCTTTCTCCCTCTTCTCTCATTTCTTTCCCTTCTCTTCCCCTCTGTTCCTTCCCCCAATCATTCCGTTCTCCCTTCTGTGTCTCTGAAGCTATCCTGGCCTTTTAGTCGTACCTCAAGCTGTACAGGACAGTAGTTTACCGAGAGTAGCCCGCTGCTATCGACACAATCGCCTGCCTGTTGTATGTTGGAAGAACTCAAGAAGTGGTACTCTGCTCCTCCGATCTGGAGGATTCCATGGGAAGGGAGTTGTTGGTCTTTTCAAATCTCAGAACTCCCCTCAGGCCGGTAAGCATCTCTCTACAGCAGTTACCACCCGTTCACTTAAGGCTATTACTAAAAATAAAGGAAGTAACATCTGGGAATGGTGCCTTTTCATCAAGTCTTGTCCCACACACAAACTTTTCGACTTTGCTACATACAACATGTACAGCTTAAACAAGAACTATATTTGGTAGTGTGAGGCCCCACATTAAATTTGACATCTTAATATGTCTGGTCTGTACTTGGATTTTAATAGAAATGAATATAATAAAGTTTGGTTCTAGGCAATTTTCGTTCCAGCAAACCAGAGTATCCACAGATGGAGACTAGATTACACAAATCTTTTTTCTTTCTCTTGGGAAGCATCCAAATACATTTAACAGCTTCAGAGGCAAGAAGAGATTCTGTGCCATGTAATCTGAAATATACATCCTCATTTTTACAAGTCATATGCACACACAAGGCAGCAAAGACCCCAAATGCCACTTCAGGAACTTTCAAGCAAATAGGTTTTTAGGAAGCTGGCAAAATAATAAGTACAGCTGTCCCATTTTCTGAGGATATTTGTGAATACCATGTCTGAGGTCTTAAACTCAGGAGCTATTTTTGCTGACCTTTCTCATCATTTCTGCCTCATAATAGATGCTCAAAAAAAAATTAAACAGTGGGCCACCAAGATGTCAGATCCAGTTTAGGGATGGCTGCATTCTTTCACCTTTGGAAATGTGGTAAACTCAGAATCTGTGGTTTAGCTAGAACCATGTACTTTTTGAAAGTCAGCCAATGTCTTTGATCATTAGGTTGACTGAGGGCAGCACATACATAATGCTGTAGTATTCCAACTGCCTTGGAGTCTCACTATTGGTGTAATTGAAGGCAATTGGCTTTTTACTGTTTCTCCTCTGAAACCCTGTGTGCTCCCAAGCCACTTGGTGGGTATGTTAGAACTTAAGAGGCCAGGTGCAATGGCTAATGCCTGTAGTCCCAGCTACTTGTAAGGCCAAGGTGGGAGGATCACTTAAGCCCAGGAGTTCGAGACCAGCCTTGGCAACGTGGCAAAACCCCATCTCTACAGAAAAATACAAAAATTAACTGGGCATGGTGGCGCACTCCTGTAGTCCTAGCTATTCAGGAAGCTGAGGTGGGAGGATCACTTGAGCCCATGATGTAAAGGCTGTATTGAGTCATGATCATGCCACTGCACTCCAGCCTGAGTGAAAGAATGAGACCCTGTCTCAAATAAGTGAAATAATAATAAAATATGTAAGTTATGTAAAATTAGTGAATCATTTTAGGAACACCAATAAGCATCGCTGAGCTTTTAGTTGCAAAAAAATTGATACTTATTCCACTGGTTGCTGATTTTTTAATCTAAATTTTTATTATATTTCATATTCAATTCACATATTTGCCCACAACTAATATCTTTGAAATTGCAATGCATCTTAAAATTCATGTGATCAGAAAGAATAGTGTCATAGTTTAAATGGCAACTTTTTTATTGATAGGCAATTTTTATTGTTAGGCAATAAAATAACTGCATCTTAGAATTGATGACATATTAAAGTTGATAAAATACAATAATACTAATTATTTTCTATTCAGTTTGTAAGAAATTTTATAAATATCCATTGTCCTTTTAGTGAGTCCATCCCTATGAACCTTTAAAGCATCTGGGCTGATTTCAGTGATTCTGTTTTGTTTGAGGCAAACCAGGCTCATATGCCCATCAACCCAGAATTGCTCTCACAATTGTTTCCATCTGTGTATACTTTTTGCTCCTTTTTTAGAAGGCCCAGGGAATCTGGCAGTAGTTGCTCCTGTCTTCTCCCCATCTTCTTCCACTCTTCCCTCTACACATCCTTATAGGCTCATGTCCCCTGTGGGTCTGTGTGGCAGAATTGAAATAAAGTTAGTGGTATTGGAAAGTTCTCACCTCTACCCATTCTGGGATTTCAAGGGAACCCACTCTCAAACAATAACCTGGTCAGGATGGTTGGGGGATGTCATCGAGGAGATGTTGTTGTTTGTGAGTCTTCATTTGGAGTTGCTTGGACAGTGAGAAGCTGTGCCCTGTGCTTCCAAGCCTAACCTATGCTTGGAAGGATAGCCCTGTGCTGTTTTCCAGACCTGGGCTCTTTCTGGAAGGATAATGGCAATCAAGAAGTCGGTACAGTAAAACCAGCATTACAGTGGAGGATTAGCCATTTGATAGACTGGCAATTTAAGTGGGGCTGGTTCTCTATTTGGGTGTGGTAACTTGAAGACTGTATAGAGAAAAATAAGCATATATAGCTAGATAGACAGCTAGATAGATAGGATAGATACTTTTTAACACAGAGACAATTTATTTTATTCAATATGTTTTCCTTTTATAGCTCCTACCTCCTCTTTAGAATCTTCCAGTAGCATAGAACAAGAGAAATACTTGCAAGCCTTACTGAATGCTGTTTCTGTCCATCAGAAACTCAGAGGCAACAACACTCTTACTGTCAGGCCAGCCCTTGCTCTGTCTCCAGGTAAGATTTGATAATGCTTCTCTTCTTGACACCTGCTAATGAAAGGTCAGTTCTATCCCTAGGGTTATTTGTTCCGTTATTTGTTATTTGTTATACTGTACCTTCACCAAGACTTGAGACTTAAAAGTTTTACCCTAAAGGGTTATAAGTTTAGCTGTTTTTACTTAGAAATATGCCACTATGAATGTCTGGTAAATAGTAACTAAATTTAGAGATTCAGTTATTTCTTTTTTTATTTTTTAGAGATGGGATCTCACTATGTTGCCCAGTCTGGTCTCAAACTCCTGGGTTCAAGCAGTCTTCCCACTCAGCCCCCCAAAGTATTGGGATTAAAGGTGTGAGCCACCACACCCAGCCCAGTTATTTCCTTTTTAAAAGTGTAATGAGAGAAGATGTGGGGAATTTAAATAAAGTCACTCTTTTTTCCCCATAGTTGTCTTTCACAGACTTTAAAATATTATGATGTGAAATATGTAAGTTGAACATGTTTGTTAAATGTGTATTTATTAAAATCATCATGTATAAGCTTGAAATTCGCAAAATTTCTGAAGCCTATTAAAATTTTCAGTACAGTTTGTTTTCACTGGATTTGGATGAAGCCATTAAGACTTGTACTAATATTCTGTTTCAGTTATCATGTGATGGAACCCCAAAGGGTTCATGTAGAGGTAACCCCAATGTGTTAGACACAGGAGCATGTGACTTGAGAAGTTGGTCTCTTTGGCTTAATCAGCTATTTGAATTAGCTCAACATAAGCAGAAAGTGGCTTTTCTTGTAAAGTAACACCATGCATGCCTTGCTCCATTTATCATTAAATTCTGATTGCACTTGCCAAACCTAACTCTATAATCTTGCAAATGTGTGTTATGTTATCTCTGATTAATAACAACATTGCCTTGTTATCTCTAATAAAGCTTTTGGTACATAAAAGTACAGTGTTTGGCAGCAATTAAACATGCTACACATGAAGATAACTTTTTGTCATTTGAGTAATGTTAACCCAAACAACGTGGTTTTTGTTCTTCTTTTTGGCTGACTTTAGGGACTGAAAGGAGGACTTCAAGAATGTCCACTGTGCTTAAGCAGGTAGTGCCAGGACATTTGGATGTAAACCCATCCAATAGCTTTGCCCGAGGAGGTTAGTAAGATTGATTTTATAACTGAGCACTGATGCAAGCTTAAAAGCAGAAAACATTTTTCTAGATAGCTGATATTTTAAATCAACTAATTATGGTTCAAATTGTTGTTGATTACCCTCTTCTGAATGAATGGTCAAACTTATTACTAGCATGATGACAGATGAGCTTAGTCTCGTGGGACAAGAAGTATAATAATTGCTGATGTCATATACATTGATAAGTTTGGGAGCATTAGGAGGTAAGGAGAGCATGTCTAAATGATGTGTCAGCCCTGGGAGTATTATTCCATGATACTTCAGATTTGCAGGTCAGAAAGATCGATCAATCACAGAAGTATAGATAGTTCAGGAGAAGTGATTCCAGACCCAAGGAACTCCAGGACCTTTTATTTTTGCTACTGTCCTCTGAAACACTGGTTTGGAGGATGTGACATCGTGATATCCAGGTAGCTGCTGGCATGAAGAAATAGAGAAAGGCTGAGTTTTTGTTCTTTTAAGCTCCCAAGGTCATCCACTTTGTTCTCTGGAAGTTTATTTGAGATTGTTTCACCTTGCAGAGGAAATTACAGACCAGATTTTTTTTTTTTTTTTTATGTGGAGTCTTGCTCTGTCACCCAGGCTGGAGTACAGTGGCACGATCTGATCTCACCCCAAACTCTGCGTCCTGGGTTCAAGCAATTCTCCTGCCTCAGCCTCCTGAGTAGCTGGCATTACAGGCACATGCCACCACGCCCAGATAATTTTTGTATTTTTAGTGGAGACAGGGTTTTACCATGTTGGTCAGGCTGGACTCGAATTCCTGACCTCATGAGCTGCCTGCCTCAGCCTCCCCAAGTGCTGGGATTACAGGCGTGAGCCACCGCACCTGGCAAGATTTTTTTTTTAAGACAGGGGCTCACTTTGTTGCCCAGAGTGGAGTGCAGTGGAAATATTATAGCTAACTGCAGCCTCAAACTCCTGGGCTTGAGCAATCCTCCTGCCTCAAGCTCCCAAGGAGCTATGACTACAGGTGTATGCCACCACACCCAGCTAACTTTTTAAAATACTTTTTGAGACAGTATGATGCTCACTATGTTGCCCAAGCTGGTCTTGAACTCCTGGCCTGAAGCAGTCCTCCCACCTGGGCTTCCCAAAGTGCTGGGATTACAGGTGTGAGAAAGCACCTGGCCCCAGATGTCTCAACTGTAAAGTCCCACTGTCTCACAATGGAGTCACAGAATCTTAGACTCTTCCTCTCACCCCTATATAATGCTGAATTCCCTTAAAAACGTAGTAAGTAGACTGGGTGCGATGGTAAATGCCTGTAATCCCGCACTTTGGGAGGCTGAGGCAAGTGGATCATCTGAGGTCAGGAGTTCGAGACCAGCCTGGCCAACGTGGTAAAACCTTGTCTCTACTAAAAGTACTAAAATCAGCCAGGTGTGGTGGTGTGCACCTGTAGTCCCAGCTACTCAGGAGACTGAGGCAGGAGAATCGCTTGAACCCTGGATGCGGATGTTGTAGTGAGCCAAGATCACACCATTGCACTTCATCCTGGGCAACAAGAGCAGAACTCTGTCTCTCAATAAATCAGGCAATCAATCACACACACTAAGTAGGTAATCTTGTTTCGCTTGAACATCATCAGTAATGGGAAACTCATTTCTTACATTTTTGAGCAACTCTATGTGTTGCTTTCTCATATTGACTACCACTTTTACATATTGGCCCTAGTTCTATCCTCTGAGGTTAGAAAGTAAGTCTAATCTCCCACACGAATATCTTCAGGAAAACCTCTTGTCAGGCTTTCTACAAAATTCACTTTTTCCCCTTTTGAAAACCATGTATGTCTCCTAGTAATCATATTGGTCCTTTGGATGCTTTCTTTTCCTGCCTTTAGTTAACTCTAAATATCCCCAGTTCAAATGGTTGTAGTCTGCTCACCAACCTTATCACTCTGAGCACTCCACAGAATTGAACCCAGAACTCTAGGTGCTCACACAGCCTAAAACTGCATTGGCTATGGGCAGAGCCCCATCACCAGGTTAACCCATGTGGAGATTAATATCATTTTAAATCACTGCTTCACATGTGCTATTGTTCTTAAAAATATACTGGTCTTGATGTTTGTTCTTTGGACCTACTAGCAGTGCTATAACTAGAAAATGTCATGGTTTTGGATGTGGACTGAATTTTAGACCTTTCGATCCTGATTTTGTCTACCAGTGCATTTGCTGTTTTTACAGGCTTTTTATCATCCATAGATTTGATCATTGTTGTCATGTGATTCTTTGTTTAAAAAAATGTTGAACAAGCCAGAGCTAAGGACAAAGACCTGCAGCAAAATAATGTATACCTCTCTGAAGAAAAAGATCAATCTGTTCATCTATACTGGTTATGGGTCTTCTCTCTAAAACTCACCAGGCCCATATTTCTAAATCTCTGTCAATCTTTTTAATCCAACATTTGCCAATTTTCAAACAGTTAACTGCATCACAAAGGATTTTACGGTTATTTCGCCATGACTTATTGTAGGAATCAGTGCTTTCTCTTTTTGAGATGGAGTCTTGGTCTGTCGCCCAGGCTAGATTGCTGTGGTGCAAACTCAGCTCACTGTAACCTCTGCCTCCTGGGTTCAAGTGATTCTCCTCCGGCCTCAGCCTCCCAAGTAGCTGGGATTACAGGCACCCGCCACCAGACCTGGCTAATTTTTGTATTTTTAGTAGAGATGGGGTTTCACCATCTTGGCCAGGCTGGTCTTGCACTCCTGATCTTGTGATCCACCTGCCTCGGCCTCCCAAAGTGCTGGGATTACAGACTTGAGCCACCACCCCTGGCCACTTTTTCTTAAGTAATTATAATTAGTCCATTGATAATCCATTTCTAGAATTTGGTTCAGCATCAACATAAAGGTTCTACTTTACAAAATTGACTTTTTTCCTTTTTGAAAACCATACACATCTCCTAGTGGTCATATTGGTTTCTTGGATACTTTCTTTTCCTGCCTCATCAGAACTTTCTGTAACTGCAGGATTTCCTAAGAGCTTTCAACCTTCTTCGGTCATTATTCCCATTAATGTGTCAGTCCTTAAAGTTGTATTGGTTTCCTAGGGTTGCCATAACAAAGTGCCACAAATTGGGTGGCTTGAACAACTATAGTCTCACAGTTCTGGAAGCTGAAAGTCCAAGATCAAGGTGTCCAGAGGGTTAGTTCCCTCTGAGGGCTCTGAGGAGGAATCTGTTCCATGCCCTCCTCCTAGCTTCTGGAGGTTTGCTGGCCATCTTTGGCATTGCTTGGTTTCTGGAAGCATCACACCTAAATCTCTGCCTTTATCTTCACATGGCATTCTCCCTCTGTGTCTAGCTCCAGTTTCCCTTTTTGTAAGCACACCAGTCATATTGAATTAGGGGCTCATTTTACTCCAGTATGACCTCATCTTAACTAATTATATATATTCTGAGGTACTGGGGGTTAGGGCCTACTATAAATTTTGGGAGGGGGACACAGTTCAACCCATTACAGTCATATGTATCATTTTTCTGAATTTTTAGAGTATTATAATTTTAAAGTTTAAGATACAGACTTCATTCTTATCATTTCTTTCTCAGTGGATTCGAACTAAAAGATGGAACAGTGATTTTCTCCTAAGGTTCCTGGTATTTCAGTTGCCAAGCACTCTTGTCAGAATTTGGTTTAAGATTGCCTTTGCCCTTACTGTTTTATTTACCATGTGAAAGTTTATATCATCAGCAAGGCAAGTCAGTAATTTTTCCATTCAACTTTTAGAGAATGCAACTTTCAGCAGACGTCTAGTTAAATGAAGCCCTCCCACCCTGCAACCCGATCTTGTATTTTGCCATTGTATACGTCACCATATTATCTATTCTGACATTTGGCCAGGTGGCCTGTAGTATAAATTGTAGCTGCAAAATTGTCTCTCTTTTTATGTTGGTACCTCAGGCTCATGGATTTTCAACAATCTTTTTCTTTTTTTTTTAGACAGAGACTTGCTCTGTCGCCAGGCTAGAGTGCAGTGACACGATCTCAGCTTGCTGCAACCTCCAACTCACTGCAACCTCCAACTCCCAGGTTCAAGCGATTCTCCTGCCTCAGCCTGCCTCAGCCTCCACAGTAGCTGGGAGTACAGGCACGCACCACCATACCCAGCTAATTTTTGTATTTTTCACAGAGACGGGTTTCACCATGTTGGCCAGGTTTGTCTCGATCTCCTGACCTCATGATCTGCCCACCCTAGCCTCCCAAAGTGCTATGATTACAGGTGTGAGCCACCGCACTCAGCCTCAACAATCTTTTTCAATTACATTACCGTCTTTTTTTAACATTGGCCTCCGACTCTTGGCTTCTTTTATACAAAGGTATTCCCAGTAGTGGTTATATTCTTATCATGACTCCATTCTTTGCTAATCCTAAAGATGCCTCTAAAGGCACCCAGGAGGCTGTATTTACCTTTTCAGATTAAAATCTCCAATTTAACTTATGACCACTATATGCATATCTGAGGCTATAATTATGATTTCTGACACCCTTCTCAAGTACTTTTTGCTGAAAATTACTGTGCATTTGGCTTGTTTCCTTATGACAGTTTTTTACTCCTAACTAGATACCTGTCATTTTGGCATTTTAAGCTAAAATCCAGAAATGCAAATCTCACTCCTTTACTCCATCTCTTAACTCTTCACTCCCAAAGCCTCCAAGACCTTCTAAAGTCCCAGTGATGAATTGGACAAAGAGATACTGCTGTCTCCTGACACCTTCAACGTTCTCTGTTATCTGTAGACCTGCTTTCTATGTTTTTTCCGATAGTGTCATTCCTTCTCCAAGTAGGAGGAATGGACTGGGACAAGCAAGTTAAGGAAGTCTCTAAAGATTCTCTGTTAACATGAACATGCCAGGCAGACACACATTCAGATTGGCCAGGGCAAGACTAGGTATAGACACACCCATGCCCTGCAACTAATGCATTTCCTTGTACCTACTCACAGTACAGCCTCTTCATTCT